ACAATTGTTGTTTTTGTTTGCGTTTTATTATTATTATTATTATTATTATTATTATTATTATTATCATTGTTATTATTATAATTATTAAAATTAATATTATTATTATTATATTATCTTCCTGTGGGAAAGTTTTGCAAATTTTAAATGGTGAAAACAGGCATTATTTTATATTATTATGATCAGTGTATATCTCTTATGGGTGGCATATGTTATAACAAGATTGTTAAGTGTAGCATGACTTTAACCTGCAATTTTTAGAACAAGTGGTCAGCAGAGGAAGACACTTGAATGAAAAACACATGCAAGATGCAGTATGGGATATGATAAACGATCCTCCTCCATTGTAACTTAATACGCTTGTATTGTACAAAGCTCCAAAGTATATATTATACAAAGCTCAAAAGCATAGAGTTTTTTGATCAGTGAGTGGCAAATTTTTAACAGAAGGATCAGGTATAACATAGAAGTATCCTTAGTTACTACTTTACCATATGTTATATATCATCTCATAGTAACAGTGACGGAACAGGTTATCAGATAGCAAGCATTATCAGTGAGATATAGAGGAAGGCACAGCAGTCGGAAACTCCCACCCATCGGGGACCGTGAGTTTGACAGGTCTATTTATAAGTGGGTTATGGCTTGGCGTCTGTGTTTATTTTTGGAGTTTGTTTGAGGTTTTGTTGTTTGTTTTTCCAGTGAATGCTACTTTGTTCTCTAATGAGTTGGGATTTTACTGTGTGTAAGAAGAAGGACATAGAGCATATGTGTATGTGTGAGTGTGCATATGTGGGAGTGTGTGTTTGTACCCTGGTGCTTGTGAATACATATGTGAGAAATGTTTGCTGGTGTGAATGTATTTATATATATGTAGATGCTTGTACATATGTGTACGTCTGTGCGTGCGTGCGTGCGTGCCTGCATGCCTGCGTGCTTGCGTGCCTGTGTGCTTGCGTGCCTGCGTGCTTGCGTGCCTGCGTGCCTGCGTGCCTGCGTATGTCTGTGCATGTGTGTGTGTGTGTGTGTGTGTGTGTGTGTGTGTGTGTGTGTGTGTGTGTGTGAGTATGTGAGTATGTGTGTATGTATGTATGTGTGTGTGTGTTGTGTGTGTGTGTGTGTGTGTGTATGTATGTGTGTGTGCATGTGTGTGTGTGTGTGTGTGTGTGTGTGTGTGTGTGTGTATGTATGTAGGTATGTGTGTATATGTTTGTGTGTGTGTGTGTGTGTGTGTGTGTATGTGTGTGTGTGTGTGCGTGTGTGTGTGTATGTGTGTGTGTGTGTGTGTATGTGTATGTTGTATTGTCTTTACCAGTGTCTTTATTTAAGTGTGTAATAGCAAGTGTACGATTTTATATGTACACAACATTTTTGTGCAATATTATTTTTACGTTTTTTGTTATCCTGTTTTGTTTCATGATTACTGTATTCTTATGTAAACTCCTTCACAGCAACTGAACATAACAACCTATAGCTACCATTATCGCTTTAAAATAGACCAAATAGAAGTTGCAACACCATGTTCAGTCCAGCAACATCTAGCAATATCAGATATGCTTATGTAACTCATAGTATTTAGTAGGTTTCTGTAGCAGATCCCATTAAAGGCTGGAGAAGGGGAAAGTACGGTGGTGGGCTGGTTAGTAAGTCAACATAGAAAGGAAGGAAGACCTGTCATTCATAGATTCATTTTTTTGTCACTGATGCACTGTGGTTTTTGTTTTATTAATTTTCTCAATATGATGGCTTCACATGCAGCTAGTCACCAGGGAGTCGATTACATGACCTACCCGATCTTACCTGTTTACCTAAGTCCTTGAATTTTAGTGAAAGTTTTCATTTCTGTTAAAATCATTACTGATAATATTATTATTATTGTTATTACAGCATTGTTAAGAATTATGATATTAATTAGAATATGAGCCTTTCATCCAAGAATTAAAGGAAAGGGGTAAATTAATGAGGTGAGGTAGGCCTAATGTGTGCTTAAAATCAGTAAAAGAACAGTCAGAGTGGAAAGTGCATGTATGAATGCACTCTCAGCTTCAGTTGGTTAGTTTAGTTGTTATTGATACCTCTGTTTGTTGATTGGTGTGTCACCTGTGCCTTATTTAGGTGCCCCCTGTAAGTACCATGCCAACATTTCCAGTGTAAACATCATAGTAGAAAGTATAAATATAGGTTATAAATTCATACAAGACTGATGAAATATCTGTTGCATGATTGAAATTATACTATCAGAGACTCGACTTGATAGTACACTCATTTGAATATTAACTTGTAAAATGATAGGATGCATACAGTACTGTATTCCCTCAAGCAGTGGTGATAAATTGAAACTTTGTTCATGAGACTCAAATGCATCTTCTGTGTTTTGAATAACCTAGAGGTATTGATAGTCAAATAAAAGTATTTTGCTGTCCTAAATTGATAGGTTAAAAGAAAGAAATCGTTGTATAGATAAGATTGAGAAAAAAAAAATCTAAAAAAAAATCTAAAAAAAAAAAAAAAAATGGAAGAGGAGTATTGTTGTAAGTGCATAAGATTTGAAGCTTTTATGCCCCATTGAAAGGAGACATGAGTGCATTCTTATCCCCCTTAGCATGACACCAGCAGAATGGAGGACAGTCAGGAGGAGCGAGTGCATGACGAGGAAGAGTGGCATGTGGAGGCCATGGCTGTCATCCAGGACGTAAAGGACTGCGTCTCGCTGATTAGCATCTCGTCCCTCCCTTCTTCCAACACCACCATCTTCTTCAACCTCACCACCCGGGAGAACAACTTCTACTGCATCGAACTGACGGCTTCCGGTTTCAGGTACGGGCGGGTGATGGCTGCGGTCTTTTCCGTCTGGAGGGATGGCCGGGAGGTTTTTGGGTGGGTAGGGGTGGTGTAGAAGTCTTATCTCTCTGTCTCTGTCTCTCTCTCTCTCTCTCTCTCTCTCTCTCTCTCTCTCTCTCTCTCTCTCTCTCTCTCTCTCTCTCTCTCTCTCTCTCTCTCTCTTTGTCTGTCTCGCTCTCTCTCTCTCTCTCTCTCTCTCTCTGTCTCTCTGTCTCTCTCTCTCTGTCTCTCTGTCTCTCTGTCTCTCTCTCTGTCTCTCTGTCTCTCTCTCTCTCTGTCTCTCTCTCTCTCTGTCTCTCTCTCTCTCTGTCTCTCTCTCTCTCTCTCTCTCTCTCTCTCTCTCTCTCTCTCTCTCTCTCTCTCTCTCTCTCTCTCTCTCTCTCTCTCCCCCCCCCCTCCCTCCCTCCCTCCCTCTCTCTCTCTCTCCCTCTCCCTCTCCCTCTCCCTCTCCCTCCCTTTCCCTCTCTTTGGTTAAGAATGATGTAGAAACTTTTTCTCACTCTCTCACTCAATCACTCACTCATTCACTCTCACTCATTCACCCACTCACTCAGTCATTCATTCACCCTCACTCACTCACTCAATTTGTAGTTGTAATGTTGCCATGTAATTTGCACTTGCTACATGCAAACTCTTTTGTTTTTGTTTTTATGCGCTACCACCTTTGTTGATTCTTTATTTCTTTTCTCTCTGTTAGCTTATAGTCTTTGTGTAATAGTGTTTTATATAGGTTGTTGCATGTTGTATAGACCTTTTTGTAATTGATGAAGTATTAGCAGTAAGCCATAACCTGACAGCTGAATTGTTAACCTCTGTGTAGTGTTGAGTATAGTGGTACAGATGAGAGCCTCGGATCCTGGTTTGCCACAGGATATCAAGTTGCAGAGCAGGTCTTGCCTAGTTCATTGGGCAAACGTAGAGTGAAATATGCACGTTATGTAAAGTAGTTAGGGATTTGGGTGGTTTGTAGTTGTTGTTTGTGAACTTTTATTATTTTTCATTATTTTTCTCTTTTATCTCTTCATATCATCACTATCTATCCTCTTCTCATACTATCTCCTTTTCTTCTTAGTCATTCTTTACCTTGGGTTATGAGAAAGCAGTGTCCTGGACTGTAATCTTTACAAGGGATGCAAGGACATAGAAAGTCTGGTCCCAGTTTACAAATATGTTCTTGTCTTATATCATATTCATAAACACGTTTTGTATACAAAGAATAGGATATTGTTTACTTTGTATATATTTGTTCTCTCTTTCTTTCTTTCTGAATTTACTCTTATCATTGTGCCTTTGCTCCGTCATATATTATCGGTTCTCATTTTGAATTTTTGTCAATAGCTCTTTAAAGTTCTGTTTTCATTACCATTACTGTTACAATCACGTGTGTCCGTTGTCAATATCTGTACCAGATGCATTATGTCGCCAGGATTGTGAGCAGAAAGCACGACGACAACAGCGAACCCCTAGAGCAATACTACGAGACTCCTTACGCGCTATTGGACAGCATCAGCCCCCTTTACAGAGAGAGTTTCAGCTCGGCACTGGCAGCCAAACTGATGCTGCTTGAGAGCCTGAATGAGGCAGATGAGCCAGAATGATCAGTGAATCATGAAGAACTTGCAGAGGAAGGAAGAAAAGTCGTCTTTTGCTCTTACTCAACAGAATTTTAGCTTAGTAAGAAAGTAGCATGCTAAAAGTGACTCGGTGCAGGTGTGCTGAATTGCTGTAGTTGGCATTGTAATGTAAAAAGATTCAACAAACCATTAAAAGTTCTCTGGCCTGGAGGTCTGCGAAACATCAGTTCAAAGTGGATGCTTCTCTTCTAGTCCTGAAATCATAGAATTTTTTTTATGGAATGGGGACACCATAATAAGACGATTAAATTTATGAAAACCGGAACTTTCATGCAGTTGAAGTGTAATTAAAATTCAGCTCATTATGTGATCTAGAAAAAAGAAATCTAGAAGCCAGCTTTCCTGAAACTACTAGTAAAACTGAGGGTAAGTTTACTTTTTTCCATTGATCATAGGCAATATGAAAAAGATAATATATATATATATACTTCTATTTTTGTGTGTATGCAAATTCTTTTGTATTTCTATATAAGTACAGGTAAATGCTGAATATTTTTCTATATTTTTGGAAGAACAAAAGAAGTTGTTTTTTTTTCCTTCAAGGCATGTTTCTTCTGACGTAATTGATGTCTGCCAACTTCAATGTATTTGTGAAAGACATTGACACAAAGATGAATAGAGATTAGATGTGTTCACTGTCAAGCATGAGATCATTTGATAATACATTATGGACTGTAACAGCAATGTCTTTTATTTTATAACTCCCCTATCGAGAAAAGCTAAGATTTGCCCATGTTATATATTGGACATTAAAATAAAAGTAGTTTTTTTTTTTTTTCATCTTTTTCTTGTCTTGTCTTGTCTTGCTCCCTTCATTTTGGTGGTAGTGATTAGTGTTTTTCATTGGTTCATTAGTTGGTGTTCAGTCATTACACACAAAATCTTGCTGTAATATAATTTCAAGTTCTCCATCAACTTTTACTGCAAGTAGGAGCTACACTGAAAATAAATTCATATTTTTCATACAAAGCAAGAGATAAAGAGTTCTGCATCTATAATTCATTCTTTTAAAATGCTGTCACTCATTAAATCTTTAGAAATGATTCTGTTCTCTCTCAGCTTTTGTGAACAAGGAAGACATTGCAAAAATAGAATGGGTATAAAATGTTAATGGCAGTTGTTCAGGTCTACTATAGTGAGGTGAAGTGTTGAATGAGCATCTGGCAGACAGTTATCAGGTGCTGGGGTGGCTTCTGGGTTATGAGAATAGCCTGGAGAGCTGCCAGGGTATTCTGTAGTATAAATCACCAGCTGTCATGTACAGGTAGTAATGCCTAAGCGATGGTTTGAACCTGTGTGTGTGTTTGTGTGTGTGTGTGTGTGTGTGTATGTGTGTGTATGTGTGTGTGCGCGCGTGCCTGCATGCCTGCATGCCTGTGTGTGCATGTGCGTGCCTGCGTGTGCGTGTGCGTGTGCGTGTGCGTGCGCGTGCGTGTGTGTGTGTGTGTGTGTGTGTGTGTGTGTGTGTGTGTGTGTGTGTGTGTGTGTGTGTGTGTGTGTGTGTGTGTTTGTTGTTTTGTATACAATTTTACCTTCATTTTAGATATTTCATAAAGAGAAAAACAATAAAATACTAGGGAAAATATATATGTATATTTTAAGAAATACAGACAGAAATATTGCCTATTTAATTAAGTTAAACAAACTAAAGACAAGAAAAACAACCACCTATTATCTTTATCGCAATTGCACAAACTGGTATAGAATTCTCAAGCAATATTCCCATAAAACAAAACCCCCTTGAGACGAATGCTTAGAAGAGGCTCACCATGCGCAGGTGCTTATCCATTTTGGCAGCCTGCCTTTTCTCCCCTAGGGTTACCTGCACTTTTTGTTTTCTTTATGGGAAATACATTTTGCCTCCCCCCCCACCCATCCCCCCCCCGGTCAGATTTAGATACATCTTCTTCTTGGTCTTTTGATTATGATGGTGATGATTGTTGTTAGTGTTATTATTATTATTATTAATTATTGATTATTATTTTTTATTATTGTTATTATTATTATTATTATTAATTATTGAATATTATTTTTATTATTGTTATTATTATTATTATTGTTATTGCCATTATTATTATTATTAATATTATTACTATTTTAATTATCATTATCATTATTATTGTTGGTGTTATTATTCTTATCATTATCATCATTGTTATTATTGTGTTTGTCTTGTTTTTTTTTTTGTAGTTATTGTTATTGTTATTATCATTATTGTTATTATTATTATTATTATTATTATTATTGCTATTATTATTATTACTATTATTATTACCATTATCATTATTATTATTATTATTATTATTATCATTATCATTATCATTATTACTGTTGTTATTACTGCTATTATTTTTTATTTTTTTTTTTTATTATCATTATTTTCCCATTAATTTTGAATCTTTAAATAGATTGTTAGTGATGTTTCCCATGCCAGTGACAGAACTGGTTTGCCAAAATTATATTGCTTGATACTGTTTCATTCTGCCATGTCCATTGTCATTTTAGTTTATAATGTCTCCACAAACAAGTGTTTAGTCAAGGTGTAGTTAGTTACTAGTCTTATCTATCTCCCCTGTTTACCTCTTTCCTTAATTTTCAGAAATATATCTATGTTTTTTTCTGTTAACATTTTGTTGTTGATAATATCATGATAATCGTAACATCAATGATAATAGTTACAGTGCCAATATTAGTAGCATTGCAAAAAAGAAAACTCACTAGGAAATCAGATTACATTGTTAGCTGAGCACTTGTGGGGCTGACTATTTGTAATCAAATTCATAGTGCCAATATTAATAGCACTGAAAAAAAGAAAACTCAAGAGGAAATTAGATCACATAGGGCAGTTAATTGTTGGCTGAGCACTTGTGGAGCTAACTATTGGTAGAAAAACTTTGCTAACTATTTGTAATCAAATTCACTAAATAGAAGTACGGTGACCATTACATGTTCTAAGTAGCATTGGGTTTAATTGTTTTGACTTTAACTCTCTACACCAAAAGGATGTGGTGAATTATATACATCAGAGGGGATAGACTTCTTTTAACATAGAAGTGGGTAATGAAAGTGCTGGGAAAAATGCTCAATGAATATGGAATATGATGATGTTAGTGGCTTAATCTGCCATGTAATAGGATGAATTTTTACTCCTGAAGGATTTTTTTTTTTTATTATCATTATTATTATTATTATTATTATTGTTATTATTATTATTATTATTATTATTATTATTATTTTCCCATTAATTTTGAATCTTTAAATAGATTGTTAGGGATGTTTCCCCTGCCTGTGACAGAACTGGTTTGCCAAAATTATATTGCTTGATACAGTTTCATTCTGCCATGTCCATTGTCATTTCAGTTCATAATGTCTCCACGAACAAGTGTTTAGTCAACGTGTAGTTAGTTACTAGTCTTATCTATCTCCCCTGTTTACCTCTTTCCTTAATTTTCAGAAATATATCTATAATGTTTTTTTCTGTTAACATTTTGTTGTTGATAACATTATGATAATCGTAACATCAGTGATAATAATTACAGTGCCAATATTAGTAGCATTGGAAAAAAGAAAACTCCCTAGGAAATCAGATTATATTGTTGGCTGAGCACTTGTGGGGCTGACTATTTGTAATCAAATTCATAGTGCCAATATTAATAGCATTGAAAAAAAAAAAGAAAACTCAAGAGGAAATTAGATCACATAGGGCAGTTAATTGTTGGCTGAGCACTTGTAGAGCTAACTATTGGTAGAAAAAACTTTGCTAACTATTTGTAATCAAATTCACTAAATAGAAGTACGGTGACCATTACATGTTCTAAGTAGTATTGGGTTTAATTGTTTTGACTTTAACTCTCTACACCAAAAGGATGTGGTGAATCATATACATCAGAGGGGATAGACTTCTTTCAATATAATTAGAAGTGGGTAATGAAAGTGCTGGGAAAAATGCTCAATGAATATGGAATTTGATGATGTTAGTGGCTTAATCTGCCATGTAATAGGATGATTTTTTTACTCCTGAAGGATTTTTTTTTTTTTAATATCCTTACTTTTTTTTTTTTTTTCTTTTGTTTTGTGTCAGCTAAAGAAAAAACGGAGAACTGGCAGTCATGTTTCATGACAGTTTTTTTATTACTGCAATCATTCATATTAACATCTACTTACCATTTTATGAAGCCTATCTTGCAGAGAAAAAAAAGAATAAAAAAAAAAAAAAAATGCAGATAAAGAACATTTTTGCATCCGCAGTAAGATGGGTCAAGGCAACAGCAACCCTTTACGGGAGAACCTGGAGTCCCTTCACAACCAGCTGATGAGACAAGCTGGCGCCGATTATGACATAGCCACCACCACCACACTCACCTACGACCACTTCCTGGGATACATAACACAGCTGAATCAAATGTAAGTGCGTTACTCTGGAGGTGGGTGTGGTTCTTGTATTTTCTTGTTTTTTCTTGCTCTTCTTTCTTTTTTGTTCTTTTTTTTTTCTCTCTCTCTCTCTTTAATTTTTCTTTCTTTTTCTTTCTCTTTTTTATTTCTCATTCTTTCTTTCTCTCTGTCTTTGCATCTTGTTTACTGCAGTACTTAATAGCTCATATCAGAGGCAGAGGAAACATTTGTATTGATGTTGTAAGGTTGTCTCGGGTCCTGATGTGCTGGAGTTCAAGGCATCATATTTACCGAATTTCAAGCCGTTTGAATTGCATAGCCTCATGACCAAACAGATGTGTTGGTGTTAGAAAGACCCTCTGGCTTCAGTGTCTAATGTCTAGGAGTTTACTTGAGATCAATTTGATTATCTTAATTGCTATTTTTGATAAAATTTTTGGTACGAAGCGTTTGTGTTCAGAGTCTTAATATGTAGATATATATTTATCTATGGGAATTGTATACATATCGTGTAAAATTTCTATTCAAACAGATGCCGAGAGTACAAAGATAGCGAGGGTCACGTCCTTGTATTTGCCGTGAAGAAAGGCACAGATTCCACCATATTTTGGAAAGCAACAGTTCGTATTGCATGCGTGAAACTCAATACAGCAACGAATAAAGTCCAGTCTTACAGGCTTCTCAATATACGACAATTTCTACAGGTACGTGTCAGTGGAAAATGCATTTAGATGATTATATGGAATGTGAAGTTCTTATACAAATGTCTGATTAGTGAAGGTATTATAGGATTTTTTCTTTTTTTTTAATCCCAAGAAAATATTTTGTTGTCATTCGTGAGAAGTGTTTGATAAAGAAATCTAGATGATATGCCTTGATTCATTTGAGGAATTTCAAGTATTTTATACAATGTTCTTTTTTTATTTTTATTTTTGTTTTCAGGTATTCCGTCGTATAACATATGAGTGCACAGGTGGCTCCTTAGGTGGTGTTGAAGGCATGCTTGGTGTTGATTCTGCAGGTAAGCTTATTTACACTGATGTTTGAGAAACAACCTTACAGGATTTACACCAAGATTTAGTACTGTAACAGTTAAACTTTTGATGCTAGGATGCCATGATATACATAGCATGTCCACTGTCATTTAGTTTATTAATTTTGAATACACTCAGATGGCTGCACTACAGTGTAGTCACCAAGGAGTCAGTTGCTAGTTCTACCTGATCTCACCTGTTTACCCTTGTTCTTGATTTTTGGAGTTATGTTTATTTTTAATTTCTTTCTGTTGTTGATATTGATGATAACATTATGATAATCCCTTAGACAATAAAAATAGTTATGATAAAAGAATGTTCCAAAAGGAAGGAATGGGGATATCAGGTGAGGTCAGTGAGTAAGTACCTGTGAAGCTATCTGTGTGAAAAATAATTCCAAAAAGTGAATAAATATATTTCTGTAATGTTTTTCCAAAGATGGCAGTTCGGGTGTGCGGAGCGAGGAAGTGTCTGTCCCTCCTACTATGGCAGCGTCGATGGTCCTAGGAAGGATGCAGGAGCTCCAGGGCGGGACAGAGAACCCCTTGCAGGAGGAAGACCTGCGCAGCGACGGCGCCACGGGAACCTGCGGAACGAGTCTGGAGGAGTGCGTCATCTGCCTGGAGAGACGACCTGACGTGATCCTCCCCTGCGCCCACGCCTACTGCCTCCCCTGCATCGAGCAATGGTGGGAATATGCTAGCCCCTCCTCTCAAGAATGTACTTCCAGCAGTGTTGTGTACTCCATGTAAGAGAGAGAATGTCGATTTGCAGGGTGCTTTCGAACCCTCATATCTTCTGCTGCTGAAAAAGCTTTGCTTGCTTGCCTTGCACACACTAAGCCCCTCTCTCTCTTTATCCAGTCTTGCATTCGGTCACCTTGTATCTATCGGCACTTGTGGTAAATCGTGGAAGACTCTCTGGGGTTAGTTTCACTGAGCTTAGGAATATTATTTTTGTTTATTTGGAATTCTGTATAATTTGCTTCTTTTAAGGCATATTGGTGTGGATTTTCTTATTTGATTACTTCTGTGATTCTCTGTTCTTCTGTTTTATCATATAATTACTTTAAGCCATCTATCATCATTAACACTATTCATCATCATTATTGTTGGTTTTGTGTTTGATATAAACTTTATAATTTTCTGTTAGCATGAATAAATCATATTTTATATTTGCTTGCTGTTTTTCAGTTAGTTTTTTTTTCTGATTGTTTCTTCCAAAGTTAGATGAGGAATACAGAAGTATAATAAAAAATATAAGTATGATTAAAAAGCTATTGTTTTTAAACTTTATTTGTATTAGGAACTTCAGATGGAAAATACCAATAAGACAAACAAGGTCTTTAAACCAAGAGAAGTCAATAGTATAAAGGGAACTGTCCTTTTCATTGTTAAAATGAAAGGAAGGGAAAAAAATATAGTTAAATTTTACGACTAAGTGCCCAGATAAAGGGAAGAAGACCCTTAAAGAGACTTCCAATTTGTTGTGTAGATAGTAAAGGCTCGTACTAATAGTATGTGTATGTATGTTGGTCTAATGTTTGTTTAACTCTTTGCGATTTTGTAATAACTGTTATTAACCTCTTTGTGTACTCAAAATGATTTATAAGATTAATGTTGTATCACTTGAGCTTGCTTGCATTTGCTCTGTCTTGCACTTAGCTCATTTTCGTAACCCAGCAAGTTTGAATATCTATTTTCCTAACATCGTAACAGGCAAGTTGGTTTGATTTTGTTTACTGACAACGATATTATTAGTGAATAACACTTATTTTAAGAGTTATAAAATCTTGCCAGTTGGAGGAATGGCTCTTTGTAGGACTAAAGGATTTTCTGTACAAAATGATTGATTAATAATTTTTTTTTATAACAAAATGTTACAGATATATAGTGCAGAGATATTATATAGATAGTTTTTCTTTTTCTTTTTTGTTTTTATTTTTGGGCAGTGTGAGTACTCACCATTCTTGTTTCAGGTTATAAATATTGCATATTTACACGGGCATAGAAGCATTCGCACGATGCTGGCACGAAAATAATTTTTTAAATGTTTAGAACTTTGCTGATATTTAATAGCTGAACAAAATACACAAAACTCAAGTTCAGATGCTAAGATGTATCAATAAAGATATAGCACTAATGATTCAATAAAGGTGAACTTTGTAAAGAAGGAATAAGATTTTTGGATTTAGAAATATAATCCATTGCTTCAAAATCATGCTATGTTTGAGCTGTCATAATAACTGTGTAGTGTAGACTTATTATAGGGAAAGGATGACACTCCAGATGCCAAGCAATCAGGCATTAGATTCTTTCAGGACTAAAAATCAAAGGAAGATGATTCACATATGCTTTTCCTCACATTACGTGTTTGTGTTTGTTGTTTTCCCTTAATCATGAGTTTTCATTCTTGCTTCACTCTGGTCTGACACTTGTGTGATTCAAACTTGTCGCTGTGAACTCGACGACGAAAATTACTTTACTGGCTCATAGTTTGCCTGCGGACTCTGCTATGGCAAAAGTTATTGTACTATGAATATGTAAATATATATATATATGCATGTGTATTTTTAGCCCCTTATATGGATACAGTTAATGGTTTTATACAGAATAATCCATTCGAATGTATAATGGAAGCATCATACCAAATACATTAATATTACTTGTAATAAATAGTTTTATTCATCTAGTCATGCAATATATTTTTTGTCTGAATTTTTTATAGTAATTTTATTCACATGCAGATTGAAAAGTTGGCATTTCATGAAAAAAATATGAAATATTCCTTGTAGAATTAGATATAGCCACATTGTTATTTCCATAAATACTAAGAAATACACTGTGTGTTTGTGGGTATATATGTGTATACATATAAAATATATTTATACTAACACAAATCTCCTTTTTCATGTAAATAAAGTTATATAGTTTCTCACTGATGGTCCATTGATATTAATGAGAAAAAAATCACAATGATAAACTTGACTTCAAATACAATTTACGTCGCTATTCACGGTTTTTCCTTCAACATATTTTTGTAAAGAGTGAAGTTTGACACCCAATCACATTTCCAACATTTTGATCAACCCCCTAACAGGTCTGTCGTGGATAAGACGTGCCCCGTGTGTCGCGAGTCGCTGAAGAGCACAGACGACACTTGGGTCTTGTCGGAAGTGCCGGATGACGACCAGGTCAACGAGGAGATCCGCAGAACGTTGATCGGCTTGGCGGGAGATAAGGCTCAGAGTCCCATGTAAAAGGCAGAAGGAAGAAAGGAAGAGAAGAGAGTATTAATGAACTAAGATACATAAGAGGAATAGAAACAAACCGGAATTGTAAAGAAATGATGAGGAATTTCTTTTTCTTTGAAAGTGTAAATAGCAAATACAGTGCAATTAAGTACAGATTTTATGATACATAATAACTCCGAGTCATTATAATGAGTGAATAACATTTTTTCATAGAGAATACCATACTCCATGAAAGGGTATAAGCTAGATATTCCCGATTTAATAGAGCTGGCATAAAAGAGGACTTTGATTTTAAGAAAAAGAAGATATGGGTGTAAAAGTTCAAAAGTGTATAGCAACACAGGAGAGCAAACAACAGCAAAGAAAAATTATACCATACGTTTCCTGCAACCATGATTGAGGACTCTTATAGGATGTGTCCAAATGTTGTGATGTTATTAACAGTGTGGAGATGTGTGAAATGTTTTATTTGGAAATATAGATAAATAGATGAGTGAATAAGTGCACAGGAAATAAAGGCTCTGAGTTTCAAGTGCCTCAAAGAAAAGTCTATAAATTGAGAATCTCAGAATTATAGATGTCATTATCGATATTATTACAACTATGATATGGACAAAAAATGCTTTCCCATTTCCCAAGACAAAATCCAGCAGGTGAAGATTAATAAAACTAATTTTCCAAGAGGTCAGTTGTTTAATCCATTGCTTCAAAATCATGCTATGTTTGAGCTGTCATAATAACTGTGTAGTGTAGACTTATTATAGGGAAAGGATGACACTCCAGATGCCAAGCAATCAGGCATTAGATTCTTTCAGGACTAAAAATCAAAGGAAGATGATTCACATATGCTTTTCCTCACATTACGTGTTTGTGTTTGTTGTTTTCCCTTAATCATGAGTTTTCATTCTTGCTTCACTCTGGTCTGACACTTGTGTGATTCAAACTTGTCGCTGTGAACTCGACGACGAAAATTACTTTACTGGCTCATAGTTTGCCTGCGGACTCTGCTATGGCAAAAGTTATTGTACTATGAATATGTAAATATATATATATATGCATGTGTATTTTTAGCCCCTTATATGGATACAGTTAATGGTTTTATACAGAATAATCCATTCGAATGTATAATGGAAGCATCATACCAAATACATTAATATTACTTGTAATAAATAGTTTTATTCATCTAGTCATGCATTTAGCAGTTTATGGAAATCCAGTGTGTACTTTTCAAATGAAGAGCTATGGCATTGTGCTTATAATTTGTTATTCTGTATTATCAGACTCAGGATTAAGCTGGATATAGTGTATCTGCTTTATTGAGAGTGTCTTCTTAAATACAAAGTTTTAGGACATCAGATACTGTAATGTCGAGTAATGCTTTGTTGCAGTGAATATGCAGAGAAACTTGTTTGATAGTAAGGCTATATAAAAAAAAATATTTGGATAGTATCATATACCCTTCAATGTGAGCCAAATCATTTTCTTTATTTTTATGCCTTTTATTTTATTTATATATATTTTTTGATGGGTTAAGATCTAAACCCCACAGATAGTTTACATCAGTACTTGATACATACTGTTATGGCTGAATGAGAAGGATTCTTAGCATTTTTTGCATATATATATTTTTTTATTTATTATTATTTTTTTATGAGATAAAGATTTATTTGGGCAAAGGGAATGCTAACCAAATGTTTTCTTTTTTTGTATGGCCTAATCATGTGTCCCTGGAGATAAGAACGCACTGTAGCTCTCTATGCTTGAGGAACAGATGTCTCTGAAGTACCTACTTAAAATCACACTTCTTAATTCCTTTGTAGTGGGCATGGTTCAAACACAGGTTGAAATTGTTGAACACAGTGGGGAAAGGAACGGCCCTGTGACTCCAAAAGTTAGTCTTTTTGTATATCCAAGGTTTCTTTGATTTTGTTCTCTAGGTGATAACTTCAAAGTGTATAAAGGAACCTTGTAGATGTATGTAGTCTTTGTTTTGAGTAAGATTTATATATATAAAGACTAATTGTAAGTTCTGACTAGATGTGGTAAAGAATGTAAAACTGATGATTTAAAAGCATCCACTGTATCTAGACGTAAATTGTGACTTTGGGGGGTATATAATCTTTGCTATTAATGTGTTATCTGTCATTAATCAAGAGATAGAGATGGTTTATATGAATAATAGTTGATGTACTGATTATGTGATATGGTTTTAACATGCTTTTTGGTCTTGTGGAATGTTTAAAGGGAATTGAAACTTAAAGAAGATATGAATTGTTGTGTTCATGATTTCTCAACACACACAGGTCTCATGGTTGCCGTGGATAGTAGTATTTAGCACAAGTGGAACAAGCATTACAAAATGTTACTTTGCTTTAAAGAAATGTTGACAGATTTTATTATTCTGTGGGCCTTTTAACAGCTTGACTACAAATATCTGTAAGGCAGGTAGTAAATAATGAGGAACTGAACTGTTTTAATAAAATTAAAATTATTTTTATTTCTTTTTTTTTTTTTTTTTTGATGGTGCCCCAGGCTTTGGTCATAACACAGTATTATATTTCTCCGATACTAATGAATAGATTATCAGATTAGAAATGGTAACATTAAATATATATATAAAAGACATGTTACAGGCTTTTTTTAATTCAAGGAATACAGAAATTAATATTTATTTATTATTTTCAATATGTTTAGTGAACTCTGAAGTATGATCAACCTGTATAAGGATGGTCTTAGCAAAAAGAAATATTTTTAATCTGTTTATTTATTTAATGCAACCACAAACAAGACAGTTCTTGATGCACAATAACGGTGAACAAATCTGTCACTTCGTTAACATGCCAGTGGAAGTAAAAAATTGGTTCTGTGTATCTATGACATGAAGGCAGCTAAATGGATTGTTCATTTTGAAACATTTAATTAACGTAGAAATGGAGGAATTTTTATGGTGAATGGTAGTCAGGAATACTATGGCATACTTTTTGCCCAAGTAAGTTTCCTGGATACTGATCACTTAACTCAAGATTTTTAAGAGTAAAAAGAATTAGTAGAATTGATGTAGTCATTGCAATATGGATGAGAAACATAATTTTATAACCTACAGATGGTATTAGCTTTAAACATATTCCAGGAACACCTAAATATATATACATAACCCCAAATAGTCCCTACCATTCTATACTTAGTGCTGTTACTCAAATTTTAAAATCTCTCTCTTGCTCTCCTTCACTCCAGTAATCCCAGAACCTTAGACTGTGCCATACCCTCCTATTCATTGTAAGACAATAAAGTTAGGTGTATATTGTATTCTTTAACTATTGCCTCAACCACACACTTAGGATATGCTAGAGGCATTGTCATCAGTTTCTACACAACATGTAGCACTAAAAAGCTCATGGTGGAGTTATATGGCAGGTAATATGCAAAGAATTTTTTTTTAGGACAAATGGAGACGAGTACTGATGCTGAAGTGTAAGTTTCCATTTACTGACCAGGGGACTGTGAAGTGTGAAGTGATAGCATTCTTGCACTTATATTTATTGAAAGATCAAGGTTTTCCAGTAATTTAGTAATCTGTAGAGAGTATTTATTGGACATTTCAAACAAAATGGAACATTTGTTGACAATCTGAAACTTTTTTGCTATACAGAATTATTCTAAATGTACACTCATTGTACACTTCTGTTGTTGGGGTGTACTGTATGTGCTTTAGTGTGGCTTAACATATTTTAAAGTTTGCATTAGATTAAAAAAAAAATTAAACAGTAATGATAGACTATGCTTTGTACCATTTTAGATCAAAGTAAGAATTCATGTGTATCTTAATTTCCTCTTTTAGAGCTAGATTTAAAATGCTTTTAACATTGGAATTCTTGAAGTGTATTCATTGCTTGAAGTTTTATCACTAGGAATGGATAAGAATTCAGTTCAGGGGTGCAGTTGTAACAGGAGCCTGAAAGCTCTGTTGTCCATGCAACATTTCATGTGTTTTCTCATAGCTGGAAGTGACTCGGAACATGAGTGAATAAAAGACATTCTTTTGAGGGCAGTATTATGGACACAAAATGACTCAGGGTGTACACATGAACTCTTGTGCATATTTGTACACTCTTGCACTTATACAATTGAGTATATGTCAAGTATACTGTATATTTATGATATCGCTCCCTCTGTCTCATATTAAAGTTATTTATTTTTATGTCTGTAATTCAAAAAATAAGATGGCAGTAGGCTCAAACTATAGCAACTGCTGAATGCTATATACAGAACACAAAGACATTTCATTATTTTAGTTCACTGAATTTATTCTTGCTGTAAGTGTTTATTACCAATAAAGTTTATTACGGAAA